AATGACATGCAAACCCTTATCCTAAGGGATAATGAAATGGAAAAGATGTCAAATCAACAGGTGACTCCTGAAGGTGCTGAGTATGCTTGGTAACAGTTAATAAAATACTTCATGGATTCTGAAACAGCGTGCCAAACTCTTTGAAACTGGCCAGTTGTCTGTAATACCTGCTAACATTTTTAATTTGCAGGGCTTATACGCCCGTCCAGTCAGAACGACTCTGGGCAGCTTACATATTCTTATTTAGGTGAATAAGTTAAAAAGTACAAAGTCAAAAATATAATGATGATGTGAAGTTGCTTTTTTTATTTGTATTTGCCCTTGCGCGCGCGCGCTCTCTCTTTCTCTCTCTTTCTCCCTCTCTCTCGCTCTCTCTCTCTTTCTCTCTCTCTCTCCCTCTCTCTCTCGTCCACAAACTTATGCCTGTCTCTCCAATTCGTTTTTACTATTCAAGATAAAGAGGGAGGCACTGCCACTGTGTCTTTGGGTTATCTTATGAATTATAGTTTTAATTTATTTTCTTAAAAGAAAACTTGGAACAGGCTTTTGCTCATGTTCTTGGCAGCCCACTTCAAACAAGGCTTGAAAAGAAAACAAGGTTGTCTTTTAGCTAGATTTACTGAAGAGAATAGGATAAAGTTACAGAAAGCTCAGCAACCGGAAGCTTTCTTTTAGAACCCCATTTATCTCCTTAAGGCGGAGGCTTTTTCACACACTTCACACATCACTGTGTAGCAAGGAGGTCCGTTCTCTTAATAGGGAATGTTCAGATGGTCAGGATGTGAATCTTTTTCATGTTCTGGACATGCACTTTTGCTCATTGCATAAATCTATATGTTTCTCCACTATATAGCTTCCTATTTTCTACACCATGTGGGAGTCTTAGAATAAAAAAGGATCTCTTCTGTTTAGCTCTTCAATTTTTCAGCTTAATAGGATTATTTAAAGGGAAGCACATCTCTGCTGTTCATAGTTGTCTTAAGCACTCAGCCAAAGAAACCAACCAGTTGTTTTATGAAACTGGGTATGTGTTTAAAGCAGGAACAGGCAACCAGTGGCCCCTCAGCCACATATGGTCCTTTGCCAGTGCAGGGTGAGGCCATCTGCATTTGCTACTGACTTCTTAAAAGGCCATTGTAGCAGAAACTATAGATGATGTTCAGTGCAGATGTTAGTATATCTGATACTTTGGCTTTCAAACTCAGTGGAGTTTGAATTATGGTTATTAAGTCTTCTAGAAAATGAGCACTACACCATTAGAAAAGTGAGAAGAATAAGTCATATGTAGTATGTGTATGCATATGACTGTATATCAGCAACCAACTCACCAGCCACAGCTACATACAGCTTCTAAGGCTGACGGTTACTAATCTCCCTGGTTTAAGGAAAGGTCATTATTATTAAATATACAGACAGGTAGTTCTCGACTTACGACCACCATTGGGACCGGAATTCCTGTTGCTAAGTGATTCGGTCATAAAGCAAGATGTTATGTGACCACAGCACTTAGCGACCTCAATCCTGGCAGTCCCAATTCCCATTGTTAACCAAGAATTGCAGGTCATTAAGCCAAGACCCACCCCAATCCAAGCCATTCCAGGCTTGGTCCTTCCCAGCCCTGAGCCTCAGTAAGGTAAGGGACTGCCTCCAACTCCCCCACTCACCTATCTCTCCCCCATCTCTGCCCTTCTGCCACCCTGCACCCTGCCTTGTGGGGCAGCAAGCAGCTCCAGAACCACATGGCTCTGGGGCTGCTTGCCACATCCTGGGAACCTGCAGCCACCCCAGCCCAGTCCCAAGTGCAGTCGCCCTTGCCACTCTGCACTCCACCACCCCAGCTGACCTTCACCGTCATCTTGCTCCAAAAAGCCCCTTTGCAAAAAGCTCCTGGATCGGGCTGGGCTGGGCTTTTGCTTTGTGCTGCCAAAAAAAAAAAAAGCCCAAAGCAGCACCTGAGCAGCAGTGTG